TAAGCAACAGCAGACTCCAGGCAGAGCATTTCGGGAGGATTATATCGCACCTTGGGTGGTAATGCAAGGAACGAGACTGAGAAGGCTTCAGCCATCTGAGAAGTATTATAACGACTCAGAAGTGCCAAGGCTTGGAGTCTCTCTCGTTGCTCCTAGGAAATATAATTTAAGCAGGGCAAACTGTTAGACTTGCTCATTTACTGGGCATTATGAACAGAACCGGCCATTAATGACAGCACCGAGGGTCAAACCTTTCTGTTTGTGACTGGCATTTTAATCTAATCAAAGCTTACGGGGATAAAATCTGTGATGCTCCCACATCATTTATTTCATAACCTTGCTACAAGCAAGAGTATTAAGGCAACTGAAAAAACACTCTTACAGGTAATACCTTAATCACTTGTTATCCTGTGGTCAAACCTTATTTATAGAACAACAGCAAACGCTTGTTTTGTTGGAATCACTGAGAAGCGATTAAATCTCGGACGAGGCAGCAATTATAAAGACATTTCCTGCTACTGCAAGAAATAATAATCTGCCTGGCTCTCATTCTTACAGGCATTTCCAAGTGAAGCAGCTAGAGCCTTGCATCCTTCCCTGAAAGATGGGGAATCCCAGCCACCCGAGTTCAGAAACGTCGCTTCAGATCTCACAGGGAGATTCCGAAAAAGTCCAGTGAACTGTGTGGGATAAGAGACAGGCAAAGTCTTTCTGCTCTAGGTTATACTCAGAAAATTGCCATTTTCGATATAATTTAATTATTTTGTCCACATTCAGCTGAATTCCATTAAACTAGGTCAATGACTGTATTGAGAAGCAAATTCTAGGCTTGTTTCAAAGAAAAAAAAATCTCTGGAATATTCCTCTACATGTTTTTGATATAAAATATGCAGCATTTCCCCTGTCTCAAAAAATAAAGAAGATCTATTATATAAAAAGGGTTGGAAGCAAACTCTAAATCCTGAACTTCTGTTTCTTAAATCATTGTTTTTAGCTGGTAAGAGCAATAGCAGAGTGATCTCTAAAGTATTGCCTTAAAATAGCCCATCAAGAAGTTAACAGATAATCTACAGGAGATTAAACCAGGCCCTCAGCAAGCATAACAGGGCATCTGCACCACTGCAGTGAGTTGTTCCAGTCTAAGCCCACTATGTTTCTGGCCCGGTTTATACCCTGGAACAGTTCTTTGGTTCTTGCTCCCATGGCAGGTTCCCAGGACTGGCCTGTTCTAACGAGGGCAAGATCTGAGGGAAAAGCAACAACACCAGGGCTGAAGAAAAAGAAAAGCGAAGTTGCATACAACAGGAAGGAAAATCAAGAGCTCCAAGTGGAATAATAATAATTATTGATAATAATGATGATGTGCTCTGTTGAGGAGCAATGTCAATGGGAAGGAGCAAGGCAAGCGCAGCTGTCAGCAAGAGCAGAGAGGAAAATACACCTCTGTGATACAGGGTCTCTGAAGCAGCACCCTAGGCTGTGTGCTGAATCCAACACGAGGCAAAAGGAAATTAAAAGCTAGTCTAGATGATGTAAGGAGCAGTGATATTAAATTATTCAAGCAAGCGAGTGAAGAGATGCTCTGCTTAAACCTCCTCTCTGAGGAACCGGCACAGGTAGGTGCGGCACCAGGGAGCAGCAAGGTAAGCTGGGGTCGTCCTCTCATCTTGGGAGTCTTCTTTAGGAAAAATATTCTCCTGGCTAGATTTAAGTTTCTGTAACACATGAAAGAGTAACAGATCTTTACCTCATGTTTCACAGTCTACCTTTGAGACAACAATTAAAAATACCTCCATTTTGCTCCTGAGTATGCCAGTAATGCATAGCTCTGCCTTAGAAACTGCCCAACTGGCCTGTGCTGACTCTAGTCTACAGACAACGACACACCGTTTTTCTCTGCTTCAGAAACTGCAAGGGTTAGGATTTGCTAATAGAGTTTGATCAGAACATCAGAGAGCCAAGGCTGACAGAAAACATGAACTGACACAACAGACCAAAGCTATCTGTGTTAACTGCAGGCTCCAGCTATTTCGGAAGAAACAAAGGGAAGAGGTCTTTTCTGTTTCAAACAAAATCCTTAAAGATGTATTTGTATTTTCACACCAAAGGCCTCTTTTTCAGACCATGGCAGATTTGGAGCCAACCTCTATGCTTGCAAATCTTTAGTCTATTTAAAGAAAGAAAAGAGGATGCTAAAACACATTTGCTAGCGCCACACAAAGCATCCAGCACTATCAAAGCTCCAGGATCGCAGGCTCATGACGCTTTGTTTCTCTCCATGCAGGACATAAAAGCATCTTTGGCTGTGTGTTTTGATAACAGAAATGAGTACCTTGTCGTGTTTTAAATCAGCAGCTGAAACACTTCTTAAGTGAACCTGACAGCATCTGAGAGGTCCCATGCTGCCACGCTTAAGATACGCCAATCACAATTAATAGCAACAAATTTGCTATTCCAAAACAAATAAAACCTGCAAAATTCTTTGCTGAATGAAGAGCTGATGAGTGCAAACAGAAGCAAAATTACCACAATAGTCAGTTAGCCTGTCAATGGAAATTACTTTCATTTGTTTGTATTCACAAGGGTTGGTAAACAAGAAAACTTCAGCTAATACAGTTTTTGCTACACTCAAATTGAATGCAAAATATAGTATGACATACCAAATGACTCTCTTAACTTTTGCACTGGATTTCTGAGGTGTTCTGAGTCTTTGTATTTAAACTGGTCTGGAAGCTTCGTATTTTTTGCTATCAATCCTGTTAAACATGCATAATGTCTTCCTTCCGGCAAAATAAGGACTGTCCTTCTACTCATCATCTGAAGGAGACACATGTCTACAGCCTCCCCTCATTCAACAGAAACAAAGTGAAGTTTTAAGTTACCCTCATGAATTCCAAGGAGTTGCACTGAAAATCCACTTGGTGGAGTGGTAACCATCTCTCTCTGTAAATAAACACTTCTCACCTTCCAGATTTGTGAACTTTTTTCTCGGGTCTGCAACAGCTTTGTGCTTCCAGCCTGCCATGTTCCACCAGCAGATGTTACTAACCTTGAGCTGCCTCTCATGGCCCTCTCCCAACCAGTGCAGGCAGCGGGTGCCAATCTCTCAGAGCAAACTCCTCTTTTCTGTCTTTTCTTTTTTTTCTCTCTCTCTTTTTTTTTCTCCCCAAGGGAATTCTGCCTTTCAGTCATCCAGTCCCATGCATTTTCATCTCCTTTATAGGAATTTTTCCTGGACTTACTTCACGCTTTATCCAGCGCTTCCTTCCTAAGCCTTACTTGGGCACACTCATTTCCGGACTGGTCATAAAAACCCTTTTCTTCGCACGCTAACTGACCATCAGCTGAAGGTCTTGGTTGCAGAGTATCATGAGAATTGGGAAGAAACAGGGTGCTGAGCACCACAGGCTCATTTAGAGAGCCACAAAGCAAACAGCTCTGAGAGCTCATGAGACTTAAGTGACTGATCAATCTAGCTTTGCCCCTTTTAAACCTTTGCTAAGTGATCTCCCAAAGAGCATTTAGGGACTAATGATGTTGAAAATACAGCAGGGATGCTGAGGCTAATACCAAGCAATAACCTACATAAAATCACCTGTCATTCAAGCAGTAAAGAAACTAATTCACAAGTTTTAATCCAACAGGCAGACAGATGTAACAAGTCTAGCTTCCTAAATGGACCAACTGCTCTTGCACAGTTGGATTCCCTCAACTGTTACATTGGGAATATTTTAGGCAGAAAGAAAACTTTAAAACCCACTCACATACATTCAAAAAAACTCTTACAGCTCTCAGCTGGCTCTGAGGCCTTTGCACATGTTAAAAAAAATACCATCTCTGTTCAGCTTTCCTGAACTAACCATCCTACTCAGTGAAAAAAGTAGTTGCAAAATTAAGGTCTCTACGTTTAAAAACATACCCCACTTCTTGTGGAATTTATCCACCTGAGGTCTTTATTCTTCTTTTTGAGTGGTGCTGTCCTTCTAGAGGTTTTACACTCAATCTTCATGCATACCTTCAGTTTTTATGGATGTTCATCTGATATTTCCAACAGGAAATTATGTAGTTTCTAAATTATGAGGTCTAGCACTACATAAATACAATACTTTTATCTACAGGATTTTATCTGAATTCATGTTAAGATCCAAAAGCCATGTTGGGCTTTTCAGGCTTCAATGGCCATGGCTTTTTATAGAGCAGATGCTCCATTAAATTACAAGCATGCATCTCTGCAGTGCCAGTACTGACTGCTGAATGATTACACGCATAAATGCCAGAAGGTATTTGTTTTACTTTGTTGTCATTTGTCATTAGCTAAATCTTCTTCCTTCTCATATGAAACTGTGTTTTCTTATTCCATTTTGCATTATCACCCTAATTTGCACATCAGAATATTAAGAGATATAAACCAAACCAAGGTCAGTTGTTCGGTACCTTTAAGATACACAGTTAAGCCCCCGCCAGAAGTGTCAGATTGCAAAGGACTTGGTAATTTAACAGACCTTGGGCTAAACCAGATGCTAGAGGGAATGGAGAAAGCACACAGGTGCTTGAGCACCGAGAAGATTTTCTGAGTTTAAAAATTACATAGGAAAATTGAGATAAAACACTAGCAGGAAGAATAAATGCCAGACATAGTAGAAGTAAGACCATACGGCACCCATGACTGGTCTAATTTTAGCTCAAAAGCCAAATGGCAATATTTTCTGTCTGACTCTGAACATAGCACTCACATTAGCTATGAATAATTCCTCAGCAGATGATCAAAAATACTCTTTTCCAATGCAAGAAATCATCTTGCTATAATTAGACAGCCACGACGTACAACAGGCTAGCAGGCAACACTCCTGAGCTTCTCGTGGTGCCCACACGAGCCTGCTGGATGCTAGAGACCTGGAAACCAGAGGACACGTGGCCTCACCGCGCTCTGAGTCCCCGAGGAACAGCTGGGGAAGGTGTCCATGGCCACTGGGATGATAGAGACCCGCTTTGCTTCTTACCTTGTTGCACAAAGGATCCGTACACGAACCACATGGAGTTGTAGAGCGTGGTGGAGGTCATGGATCCCATCTGAAGGCGCGGAGGGTTGAGCCAGTTCAAGAGGTAGACCAGGAGCCCCACCAGCAGCACCGTGCCAGCTATGCAGGCCCACAGGGAGAGGTCGAACGGCGCCAGGCACGCAAACATGTCCACCGTCTTCTCCGCCTTCCGGAGCAGCACGCCCACCGAGTAGTCCATGTAGCGCGTCGTGAAGTCCACCACGTTCTCCCGATCGGGGGTGATGGTTAAGGCAGAGATCCCTATGTCAGCTCTCTGAGGAAAAAGAGAGAGGGCGAACAATGCGTGTAAACACGGGCTATGTCAAAGCTCTTGGCTCCACTTGGATTTATCATCATTAAATCTCTCACAGAGAAGGAGAGTCCAAAGCCAGTGTCTTACGCGTGAAGGAGATATGAACTCGGCAACATGACCAAGGGCTGAACAGAGGAGCTGCACGGTCTCTCTTATGTTTCCATGACCAAACCTGGCTTGGCTGGACTCAGGCACATTAGCTCTCCAAGTTACTATTTTCCAAGAAATCATGAGGAAACTATTTCAAATACTTATAACAGCTAGAAGAAACTTACTTATGGTCATTTTCCTTACTGAAGCCCTCCTTAGCCTGGCCTTTTTTGTGGCAAAAAGTAGACCTTGTGTATAGCATCTCTACTCAGAGGAAATTAGTTTCCTGCACTTTGATGACATGAGGATCCTGACAAAGGGCCACTGCAAGAGAAAAGGCATTTCAATGGTCCTGGGGGTTTCAGGAAGCTTGAAATTCTGAATAAGGTCACTGGCTGTAGAGTATTAAGTGCAGAATAGCAAATTTTCTGTATAGTTCTGTTCTGCATCCTCCTGCTACACAATTCTTTTCTGTGATAACCTGTGCTGCAGGTATCTTAGACTCGCTTTGTTCCCTTTACATGTGTTTGTAATTTGAAAAACCCATTTAAGATGAGAAAGAGATGAATATCTTCTCTCGATCTAATCATTATACTTCACAACATGTCTGGGTACTAGGTCTCAGGAGACACCAGTTGCAGCTACAGCAGGTGCTGTCTTACTTTTCACACTTACAAATAGAACTGCAGCGAAAACAAGAAAGGGCATTTAAAGCAGATGCATTAACACTGTTGAAAAAAGCCAATATCCTCAATAAAAAGACTAAATGCTAAATCCTTTAATGCAAAAAAGAGTGTTCTAAAACAGCAAAAGCTTCTACTAGTTTGATACATTCCCATTTCTGTTCAGGCTAAAGCAGTACGTGGTTCTTTGGAAGGGGGTAAGGAGAGACAGCACAAGTGCTTGAACTCTCAGCATTATGTCAATTTTGTTAACTTACTTAAACTGCCTTTTTTTTTCCCTCCTCCAAAGAAGACAGGGATTATCATCTCCTTAGAAATGAAATGTGGTATGGCAGCCAAAATTCTGATTGTATCCAAGTTTACAAGTCATCTGGGTTTTTTCAATGCTATCTATTAAATACAGCTCATGATACAGACATACTTTCAATCACAACACACTTAGAATTTGATTTAAATAACATTACTGTAACTTTCTTTATGTTAATAGTTCACTGGCTTGGGAAAAACGGTCAAAGACAGAGGCTATAAAAAATGTCACTGAAGTTACCAAGGGGAAGTACTTGGAAAACCCTTGAACTTCTTTTCTCTGATCAGAAAACTTGTAGACAACAAATGACTTGAGTGACTCACAGTATTTTGTGAGCGTTAAGACATAAATGCATTGAAGAGGTTGTAAATGAGTCATCATCTAAAATGTTTTCCACAAATTGTGCATATAAACTAATCTTTTTAATAATTTACAAATGCAAAAGTCCATTTACAAACATAAAAATCCTATGTTCTACAGCCATGCCTGTCAAATAGAAAAATAAGTTTATATTGAATGAACATAGTACTTTTCTGAGTGTGCATTTGGTGCATACCTACAAGTTAAATGGAAACTCAGGGTTAAATGAAGACACATGGAACCACAGACTCTGCTAAGTTGTAGACTTGGACTTTGCTGTTTGACTTGAACCAAGTTATTAACTACCAACAGACCTTGCTAAACTATTTCCCTACCTCACTACTGTATTGTAAGGTGCTATTCAAGTTATATTGGTAAGATGCTTGAAGATTCTTCACTGAAAAGCAATACACTTGATAGTAAGGATATATTTACCAAATAATAGATGACTGATTGACTATCAGCCTATCAGTACTTTTTTGAGAAACATATCTTTCCAAGTAGAAGGGCATTGCATGAAACAGCCCAACATGCATTATTTGTGGAAATACTGCTTTTATTTTATTTTCCCGGGGAAAAAGTTTTGCCATGGCATGAATCCACCCTGGTTATCCAGCTGTGACAGAGGAACAAGACTGCCCTAATGGAAGCCTTCCTTTTTCTTTGCCGGGTTACACCAGCAGTTGAGACAGAACTGTGTCCCACAACAAGACAGTAATATTGAAGCTAAAACGTAAGGTGAGAGGTGAGTCCTGATTACACAGTACTTCTGTGGGTAGCTTCCCTTTTAAAGGAAGGACAGACTACACTATTACTATGGATATCTTTACCTTAATAAATCAAATCACACGTGCCAGATTAATAGAAAATTATTTTACGCAGAACCAGGTCCTGCATCACACTGTTGAAACTAATCCTGGAGGGAACCAGTTCATATCCCAGTTCCACAGCATTGTGTTGTAGTTGCTTCAGTTTTAGCTGCAGTCATTTTTTACCATTAAAAACATTTTGTCTGAGTGAAGAACAACTAACAGTGATTCTTTTTAAAGTCAGTTCAACTTTCAGCAGCACCAACTATCTACAGATTTTATGGCCCACGTTGTGGACTGAGCAGTGCTGGAGCTGTGGAGTCATGGAAAGGCCTAAGCTTAATGGAAGAGTTGATGCAGGGAAGGTGACTGTTCTTAATTATGTATAGAGACTGTTAACTTGTATCAAAACTGGAAGATGGAAAAATTAGATGCCTGTCATTAACATGTCAAACTGAATCAGAAAAGACATCATTTTGAAGAACTCGGGGATTGCTTAGTGCTTCTGAGACAGAACGGCAAATGCATACAGTTATGTCAATATTTAGATGTAAAGCTGCCAATCTCAAATATAAACATGTAAACTATCCACTTACTAAGCTTTCACAGTGCCAAAATCAACCAGCTATCATCAAAGATATTTGTTTAACAAATTTCTAAATCTGGAAGTGATCAGCTGAAAAAAAAAAAGCACTATTTTTCTTTACATGACCAGTTTACACTGTTGCTTAGCTAACAGCAGGTCTCCCATCATCACTGTACAACATTACCAGACTCCAAAAACATGAAACAAATGAACAAAATGTCCAAAGGGCTCCAATAGCATTTTCACCCACATAACAGAATCAGCTAAGCAGCAACACGTAAAAATACCCCCCCATGCCAAATGCCCCTGTACTATTAAGGAAACACAACCTAAGCACATCTTATCACCTTAGCAATCCTATGAGTCCTGTGGTCATGACCAAGAATCGCAGATTCTTGCTTTTTTCTTCAGATTCTTCTTTGCTTTTTTCTCCTATAAATTTCTCATCACCCTTTCATTTTATCCATTTTCATTGGTAAGTCCAGTATCACTGTACGCAAAAAACAACAAACCACAGTCCCACACGCTATGCAGTTACTAATACAGATAGGCAAAAACTATGACAGACACACTTCTGCTCAAGTTCACTCTTGTGCATCCAAATAACTCTCCTTTTTCTATTATTTTGTCTTCTTTTTCCTCCCTGTGCGCTTTCTTCCTTCTTTCCCTTGCTACTCCCCTTTGGAAGACACATCAAAAGAGCCTGTTAAGCACCTTCTACTCATGGTGCTTATGATGTGGTGGCCATCTCTTCTGTGGTGGCCACGGGTGTCCTTCCCAATAAGATGCACTCAGGCGGTGGCGGTTACTTTCCATTACACTGGAACCAGGACTTGCCATTGCTCATAACAAGTATGTTATTCCCAAGCCATTCCTGGCTCATGCAGTAAGAGGCAAAGAGAACTCCTCCTTTCTCGATCTTTTCCACACATTGGCCAGACTATCATGACTGGGAAAGTAAGGAAATACTGTGTTTTAAACAGGTTAGACCTTTAATCTGAAACTATTCTCTGCTCCTTTGCTTCCCCTTACGAAATTGCCAAGCAAATGGGTATTTGAGCTCTGGGAGCAGAACTCCATTTGCAGTAAATAAGAAAGCAGCTTTTCACGAACAGCTTGCATTTGGTAAGGGGTAGATACACACTGGCTGCTCGCCCAGAGGTTCTCTTTTGCCTTTAGACAGAGAGAGAGAAAGGGAGAGAAGGACACAATAAACCTTGTGTGTGTTAATTACACAAGAGGTAAGGAGCACCATAAAAAGAGATATGCTGCCACATTATCAGGGAAATATCTTTTTAAATTCGAGATGCAGTTTTGTTAACTCTTTCTCATTATATGGAAAGATTTTGTGCCCAATAAAATTCATTTACAGCAAAACTGTAGCAGACTGATAGATCCACTCACTACATATACTTAAATATAGTGATTATTGCCTTAAGTTACATGAGTCCCTGTCTAGCAAAGAGAGAACAATTACATATGTGTTTGCAAGTGAACCATCTGATTTGACTAGGATTTCCGTCTCGTACATCCAATAATGGTTAAAAAAAATTGTAGGTCCTCCTCCTGTCTCCAGAATTAGGAGCTATCCAGTCTGGGTGAGGCAGTCTCCTGACTCATTTGTTGAGAGTAAACGGAGAAAAATGATTGTAAGTTAGGAGAGACAGTTGTGGTGTTGATCTAAAAGAAAGACAAGGAGTTTTCACTTGTCAGATTTTAGAAAATGCAAGAAAATTTGCTTTTCTAGATGATTCTAGAATGCATCATCCTGTATGATCCATTCCACTTCCTTATTTTACGGGGGCGTAGGGACATGGCAAAGTAAGTTTTTTATTTCCGTGCACATATACAAACCACGCTCTGTGAACAGCATTGGTGGTTGCATTTCATTTCGACTGATTTTGTACTGTTCAGGAATGCAGAATAGATTCAATTTATTGCCAATTTTATTTTTCATATTAAATACTGCTTCGTTTGCTTATAACCTGCAGCCTTGGGTACATCAATTTTCAATTTTAAGGGCTCTTAAATTCCTGTGTATTTTCTTGGTCACTATGTTTAGCATTCAGCAAATGTTCTCTGGGTTAATTTTTTTTCTAAGTTTTATTTCTTTTTCTTTACTGGAAGATACATTATCCGGTACTTGGCCACCCCTTACCTCACATATTTAATCCTGTATTTGCCTGCATTGCTCCTTATTATTTGATTGTCAATTAAATTCACCTTCCATAAACAACCAACAAAGTTACTTACATGAATATCTAGTTGTGTTATTTGGGGTAAAACAATGTAGGGCTCCATAGCTGTAAAAGTTGTACCTAGAACTATAGTTGAATTAAGAGCAAATAAAATACATAGGTTCACAGAATGAATGAAACATTACCAGAGTACCATCTGCACTGTCCTTTCTTTCAGCATTATGGGAGAAATGGAAAGCAGATGATAAGATGTGAAGAGTGGAGAAAAAAAATAAGATATAGCACATTTATTTAGTTTAATTTATTTATGATACAATATTGAACATTTATATATAAAATTAGGTAGACTAAAATGGTTTATTAATTGCAGAATAGAGAATATACTACTCTTGATTCATGCATCTACATAATACAAGTGTTATTATCTGTTGATTATATACTTCATGTATTAATCACACCAACATTTTTCTAAGAGCTATCCATTATTTATGTAATGCATCACTAATTACTGCAACACCAATTTTTCCCTCTTTAGAGCAGCCTCTTCCACTCATTTGTGTCAAGTCTTGCCAGCTGAATTAGGATGCTGAGCACTCCATTATTTGACTATATTCAGATTTCACACTGCTGTACTTTGGTTGGAAAAACCAACAGCCCTCCTTCTTAAACAGTTACCAGAATACACTATTTTCAGCTTTTTCTTTATTAGCTGAGTGCATCTGGGGTCACTATCAGATGCTGCCACCCAAGTCAAAGGATAAAATCCAATCAATGAATCATTAAATAAGTTACCAGCTGATGCAGGTATGTTTTACCACATATCAATTAACTTTATTACACGGAGTTTTTAAGCTATTAATAACCTTACCTTAAATACTAGTTCTCCTATCAGTCCATTCCATGATCCATCATCCTGAGGACTTCCATACTTGTGATCTGGTGCAACATAAATTTCGTATTTAAAGCCAAGGTAATTGGCCAAAGCCTCCAACACATCTATTGAGAAGCCCTGGTATTTCTTCGGTTTCCCCAGAACGTTTTCAGACACCATGACAAACGGCTCCTCCTAAACAGACAAGAAAGGAGGCAACTGTGTTAGTAACACACTATTCATCACCCTGAGCAAAATACGTGCTCTTTCTTCCCCCCAAAGTAAAGAAAGAGCTACTTAAATATGATTTATTCAAAACTTCCTAGCAACACATTAACAGCCTCTCTTGCATTTTGTTGCAAGTTATTTTGTTATGCATTAATTTCAACAGAATCATCTCATACTTCTTATGAGAAATGTTCTTCTCTACTACATATTGCAGAAGTAAATCTTCCATTGTAACATTATTACACTAAATGCATTTCAGCAATGCCTTCTTTTGCACTTATTTTCAGTTTGACAGACACACTTGTATGATGACAACCTGTATATACAAAGGGTTTTATTTTTTAATTTATTTTAACCCTCTCTTTCTGCTGGTTGAGTATTTAATCCCTAAATTTTTTCTTTGCAATTTAAAAGACAAGCTAAATGACATGGTATTTCTGAGTATCAAAATATAATTGTCATAGAAATAACTCAATTATGATCTTGTTTTGCTTTCTCAGAGAATCTAGTCTGATCCCATCTTCCTAAGTACAGCAAAAATATCAGATCTCCAAGGAGAACAGGGGGCCGCTGTGACTCTAAAGTCTTTCTGGGAAGTAAGAAGCGTTTATTTCCTTAAATCCTTTGTGTGGTGCTCTAAGTTAACAGTTTATAGGAACAGTCTATTCGGAGATGTCAGAAGGGAATTTCGTTGGCTACTGCAGCCACATGAAACCACTTCCTGACCATTTCCTCGCAGCCTGTATAACCCTCGCAGTGTGTGCAGGAAAACAAAGTTGCTTTTCGGCAATATTTGTGGCCCAAACAGCAATCATGTCTCCAGAGCTAATTCTAACTAGTGTTTTAATAGTATTTCCTATTACTCTATTACTCAGCGCTTTCAATGACTCTGGAGCCAACTGCACTGTTCACAAATTCAAGCATATTTGTATTTTCTAAGTATAATGCTCTACATCAACTTAGAGGAGGGTACTCAGAATATGAAAGCTTCATTTTTAAATACCCAAGTTAACATTCCTGAGGATGGTCACACATGGAGGTCATGCTACAAAAAAATCACTTCCTCAAACCAAATCAAACAAAAAATAAAATCCAATATCAGCAAAAGGAATAAAATGGAGGACAGCAATGCAAATTTTCAGTCTTTTCCCAATGACTGGTTTCCAAAAACTTCGAAGAAACTGAGACTTACTTAATGAAAACCTCTCCTAAGTGAAAATACCCTATAAATTCATGTTTGCGATCGTTTGACTGAGACATTCCCATCTACAAACTCAAACCACTGTAATAAAGTGTTTCTACAAAAGAAAAAAAAAGTAATTTATCAATCTGAGTCTATTGTTCATAAAATTTCAAAGATTTGTTTGTACAAAGGGTGATAATTTTCATATTAGAAAGGAATTATTCTTATCACTTCAGAGTTATTAGAAAAGAGTTGCACAAAATCTGCATTTTTATTTAGTTAAGAAGCAATTGCTAATTGCAGAGCTGATTTAAAATGCACAATTTTCCATAGCTAATATGCTTTACTGTATAGAGGTTTACCAAAAAACAGTGTCCCATGTGCTGTATGGCTAATGAAACATAAATGGTCAAATAGAAATAGG